CGATATAATATATAATATAATATATATACTGGTGATAAAAAAGGTACCTCTTTTTGATTGTGTAAAAAATTCTAGTCTTTTGAGTCTTTACGCTTTTCTCTTCACTAAGTACATGGACTCTAAAAAGTAGATCATGTTATAAAAAAAAATAATTTGATGCCCGGTGTTCAAAGCACCTACATAAAAAAAAAAATTTAACTGATTGACATATTTTCCCAACCACGTGGCAGATTTTTTCTATTCTTTGTTTTTCGTGCAGTTTACGGCTGTGTTTACCCCAAACCGCTGTCTTATTGTTCACTGTAACCCAAGAAAGGTGGAAGGTTTAACGCAACATCAGAGAAATCGAGGCATCGACATGCTCCACGCGCCTCTGCTGCAGGACATTCAACGTCAACAGAGAAACAGACCACGTAGGCCTACATGTAAATAGTTTTTAAAAAGTGTGTCGCAAAGAGGTGAAATCAGAGCTGGTCGAATTTGGGGCATATTATTATGGAGTAATAGGTATCTTCTTAATGAATCCTCATTTGTATTGTTTTTGGTAGAAAAAAATACACGTCCATCTAGACTAGAAGTCGTGATGTTTGCGGGTAAAGGAGGTCTAGCGTCATGGTAAAATTATGGCTGCCAATGTTTTGTGACTTCCAAGGTTTGTGTGTCTTTGGAAACTGCAATGTAACATTTTTGTGCCTATGATCAACATTTTTCAGTAAAATACACTCAGAAATATGTTTCAGAGAACACATAAAGAAAAATATTCGGTCGAAAGTAATGTATCGCCCAAAGGACGGAAAATGGGGGTTATGTGGAATTCATTATTTTGAGGACCGCCTATTTCATTACGATACAATGTACCACACAAACATATTCATACACCCACGCACACACACTTACACAAACACACACACACACACACACACACACACACACATACACACACACGCACGCGCACACACACACACACACACACATTAACACACACGCACGCACATAAACAGGCACACAAACGCACATACACAGGCACACACAC